ATATATATATATATATATACCTTATGCCGACACGGTCGTGGTTGAACGTGCTCTGAGGTAGTCGTTTCCGAAAGGCGTAGCAGGCTCATAGAGTCATAGAGTGCATCAGCCTGTAACGACTGGTCGGACTCGGTGCTGTGATTCTGGGTTTAGGGTTTAGGGTTTAGGGTTTAGGGTTTAGGGTTGTTGTTCACCAGCCTCTTTGCATCTGGAACATGTTCGAAGCAACTGAGGGTCATCCGCATTTCCACTCCTCCGTCCGTGCAGTCGGCATTGCTGGTTCATTGTCATCATTCCCTCGGAGATGGCCTGGGAATGCTCTTTGCGATGTCGCCCTTGCTGGGCGTCCCAGGGGGAAACCCGCTCGCCACGGTGCCCCTACCGAGGGTGATGCTCCCCGACTTCGCCAGGCCCGGTTTAGGGTTTAGGGTTTAGGGTTTAGGGTTTAGGGTTTAGGGATGCTCCCCGACTTCGCCAGGCCACCACCTGGCGAGTCCCCGGAGAGCCCGAAGACTCCCCTGGTCCGACAGAGCCGATGTAACCCCTTTGGATGCCAGGTGCCAATTTTGGGAAACTTTGACAATTTTCCATTATGGTTTAGGGTTTAGGGTTTAGGGTTTAGGGTTTAGGGTTTTCCATTATGGGTAGTTCTCAGAAGTTCTCTAAGTTAGGGTTCCTTTTAGGGTTCCTTTTATAAGAGTGCCGTATTATATTGGGGACCTAGAAAGGGACCCTAATTTAGAGAACTACCCCTATGGTTTCTCTAGAGGTATCTATTCATTCAGGGCCCCAAAACTCCCTAAACCCTAAACCCTAAACCCTAAATCCTAAACTCTAAACCCTAAACCCTAAACCCTAAACCCTAAACCCTAAACCCTAACCCAGGATGCCTCTTGGGGGCTTTCAAGGGCATTGGCTCTTTCTTCCGGGGCTTCTTTCTCATGGGCCTCTTGGCGTTCTTCAGCATAAGCATTTTATAGGGATATCCCTACCTTATTGGGCCTCATTATAAGAGGATTTATATGGGACTTCCCTATCCTAGGTTTTGCTTATGTGCTTTTTTGGGGCCCTAAGAAAGGGTGTATTTTCGGGATTATTACTTGGCGTTCTTCTGGTTGGCTCTTAGGACTTTAACTTTTTGGGTTTCTATATGAGCTAGAATAAGTATGCTAAAAGTTTAACTTTTAGGAGGGGTTCAGAATTCAGCCAAGGCATTGTGGGACACGACACAGAGCTCAGCATCAACGAGCCACTGCAAAAGAGGAGTCCCTTCCTCCCTTTCTCGGGGAAGCGGCAGCTCACGCGCTTTCCCGTCGTCCCTCTATCGCTCATCAAAAAGGCGAGGGAGAATCACGGCTGTACCTTGAACGACATCGTCATGGCCGCAATCACGGGAGCTTTGCGGAAGTATTGCCTGGAGGTCCAGAAGGACGAGAAGCTGCAGAACGGAGAGCAGGTGCAGGTTTAGGGTGTTTCGGGTTTTTAGGGTTTTTAGGGTTTAGGGCTTAGGGCTTTTAGGGTTTAGGGTTTTTAGGGTTTAGGGCTTTTAGGGTTTTGGGTTTTTAGGGTTTGGCGGCGAGCAGGTGCAGTTCAAGTCGATGGTGATGCTGGCCATGCCGCGTGAATGCAGACACTCGTCTGGATGCTAGAGGGGTCCTGTAAGGGCTGAGGGGGTTATTTTTTAATTGTGTTATGTTATGTTTCATTGTTCTATGTCATAACTTATTCTACTGTATTCTGTTGTATTGTATTGTGTTATATTCAAACTGTGGTATGCTCTGCTATAACATTTTTGTAGTGTATTGTTTTATGCTATGATCTGCTACCTTATTTTATTCTACACCAGGCTACATGATACTCTGTTATATTCTACAAAAACTGCATTATATAATATATTGCAATATCTTATTGTGTTCTGCTATATTCTACATTATATAACCTTGTAACCTTATATTTATTGTATTGCATATTATATGGTCGTATACTCTCTATATAATTTATTTCTATATACACACATAATTGTATTCATAGATTACATTATCTTACATGATATCATAATGTATTGTGGCATTTCCCCTATATTAAGTTGTAATGTATTGTAGGGCATCATTTTATGTTTTGCTCTGTTCCACTATTGAATATGTTAGCTTGTATTTTTGTTTTGAGACAATATAATATTTTGCTATGTTAGATTATGTTATGCTATGGTCTATTGCGTTATATTGACTGTGTTTCTATTCTATATGTCATGTCATATTATGGGATAAATTGTTATAGAAAGAAGACAATGCTATATTCTGGTATGTGATATTGTAACTGAAGTTATGATATGATGTGACATAACATGAAATATGTTATGACACCGTAGTATGCTATAGCAAGAGTTTCATTCGGTTTCATAGGGCGGACTGGCAACGTCAGCGTGAAGAGCTGAGGTGCCTCCGATCCAACCATGGCCCTACGCAGCTTGGAAGCACGGTTTAGGGTTGGGGGGGTTACTTGGAGGCCCTTTTGACT